CAGTCACGGAGCCTCCCGGGTCTCGGGCTCCCCCCGGTCTTGTGAGCGCCTCTTGCGATTCGCTCACGTTATAAAATCACCCCGAAGTCTGGGGGGTTGGATTTATCTTTTTTCTTTTTCTCTCCTTTTTTTTTTTTTTTTTCCCTTAGAGTTAGTAAAAACACGTGATTATTTTTTTTTTTCTGGGTGATTTTCTTTCTTTTTTTCGGTGTGTGAGAGGCATCTTGCTGCAGCGGGGTTCATTCTTAGTAGTGACTGTGCTGGAGAAGTTAAAAATGACTGTACCTGCGCGGCAATCACTCCTGACATCTCAGCCGACTTTGGGTTTTACTCTGACAATCTCTACAAGGATGCAAACTGCAACCGAGCAGCGCAGGCAGCCTCAGCTCTGCTCCACATGCAGCCCGGAGGGTTCACCCCAATGGCAAAGGCATGGATGGCCACAGCAGCACCAGCCTGTGGCACCTTTGCTAATAAAAGCTGGAAAAAAAAACTCTCCCGTGGAGCTAATTGTGCCTGTGCCCTGTGCAAGCCACTCTGTGCATGCCCTCTCCCCAGGCTGTGGGGAAGCCCAGATTTGCCCTCCATACACACACGAAGAGACCACCAGGCACAGCTCCTTGAGGCAGAGGCTAACCCGAGTGGACTGAGGCAATTTGCCCTTAGTGGGAAAATATCTTCATTATTAGGATGATACGTGGTGTGGTGCTAGATGTGGGGCAAAGCCACCCGTCCCAGCTGGAGCTCTAGGGGCAGGTTCTGTCCCTGCAGAGAGCTGGGCAGTGGAGAGCTCTGATTCCTTCCCTGGCATGGCCAGAAACCCACCACGAGCACAGCAGCCCTGACAGTGGCACGGCGCTGCTGGAGATGAGGAGCGGGGTGTGGGCAACCTGCCATGGGGGGAGACGACTTGGCTTTCCTCCCGGCACTTCCCAAAATGTTTGCAGAAGCGCAGCCTGCCCTGTGGCTGGCAGGACGGCCTTCCCCACAGCAGCTATTTACTGGAGAACACTGGGGTTTTGAAATCCCAAGAGGTTTATGGGGTTTTTTGGTGGTGGTGGTGACAGTCTTGCTTGCTTGTTTTATTTTTTTTTCCCCTCCTAAAAACTCCTAATAAACTAGGAAATTCCCATTACGGGACATCCAGGGTGCTATTGAAAAATCCTAAGGCAAAGAAATGCCAAAGTTAAGTTTACAGTTAAGCTAAACTTAAGTTTCCCTCCAAGCTAGTAAAGCTCAACAAATTCTTTAATTGCAGAATGTTCATTGTGTTCTACAACCCAGTGGCATTGAACTCAGTACTAATCTGTGTACTCCTGTACGGTGAGTCACTTGTATAGAAATTACATAGTGAATGATATTGCCATGAATTACAAGTTGGAGGTACCTAGCAAGAGTAATAGTGAAAAATTTCTAACAACCATCAGCTAGTGGAGATAATTTTCTGGCTCGGGGGATTTATATCACATGAAAGGAGAGGTCTGCTAATAAGACAATAACTGCTCAGTAAATCATTAAGGATATTCCTTCGTAAGATAGGGTATTTCTATGTACACATCTGTCAGGAGTAAAGCCTAACAAACACGTAAGGCTCAGATGTTCATCAACATGATGATGAAAATACCCAATGGATTTAACATTAAAGAAGTGTTATCCCAACAGAAGCCCTGTGCCCACACCAGCGAGCAGATCCAGGACCTGCCTAATGCACTGCACCCAGTCCGGCGGTGGCTGAAGCAAGTACCGACCACCCTGCAGTCCAGGGTCAAAGTAGCATGGATGTTGGAAAAGCTGATGCTTTGCCTACAAACGGCTCCTGCCCACCCTTCTTACTCTCCCTTGCATGAGACTTTTACACCACCGAGGCAATAAATCTGGGATGTGAAGCCAGGCAAAATGCCACTGCCTACCCGGTGTCTGCAGCGCCTCGGGCCAGTTGCCGTCACCAGTGCCCAGCAATGATGGGCAGGGTGGTTTTTGGTGTGAATTCACACCCGGGACTTTCTCAGCAGAGTCAAACACCCCCCGTACAATCCCTCCTGTCCCTTGGGCTCTGCGCTCACCCTGGTGCTAAAAACAGAGCTTCAGACCCCAGAGGGGGAATTACGTGTGGATAACCCAGCAGTGCCGGCCCTGCCGCAAATGTGAGTCCTGGGAGCTGGTAAGAGTGGGAAGGCATTGTCATGCTGGAGGGAGTACTGGATAAAGAGGGGTCTAGGGGGGCTCAGCCCCTAAGAGGAACGTGAGGTCCTTCCCCAGGAGCAGGCACAGAGCGTGTCCTGGGGACCCAGAGGAAGGAGATGCCCCAAGTGGCATCACCAACCTCAAAAACAGGCAGAGGAGCCCAAAGGTCCAGGTGACAGCCGCACCCAGGGACTTGGGAATGAGGAGGAGGGAAAACAATGCTCACTGCCTGATTTTATTTTTCTTTTTGCAGTGCGGAAGAAAGGAAGTGGGTTCTTCTTTTGTGCAAAACATGCCCCTGCCCTGCGTGCAGCAGGTGCTGTGCTACAGGAGTGCAACCCAGCTCCACCCGGTTGCAGGGCCCTGGTGGCCCCACCAAGCCCAGCAGCGCTGCTCGGCGCCGCACCCCAGGCAAGGGCTCCTTCTGGATGGGGGTGCAGGGCTGGGAGCACCCCCTTTCCCAGCTGGTGGGACCCTGCTCTCTACTGCTGCAACACTGGGATAGCTGAAAAGGGACCCCATCCAGGCAGGGTGGAGAAGCCCTGCCCACCCCGGTTTGCAGCCGTCGCATTTAGGAGATGTTGGCCTTCAGTGAACCCAGCAGCTGGATGAGACGTGCTGTGGGATTTGGGGTGTGTGACTTCAGCTTCAAAGCTGGGTCCTTGGGCCCAGCAGGGAGCAAGGGAAGGGTCCCACAGCCCAAGGACCCACCTCAGGGCCAGCAAGAGCTGCCGCGCCGCGGTGTCCCTGCTGCCAGGGTCGCAGCCAAGACACAGGGGACACCTCCTGGGGGTGGATCCTGAGCAGATGTGGAAGGTCTCTTGCCTGACACATGCATCATGGCTGTCAGCCACAACAGGGGACTGCCGGGCAGCCACCAAACACTCTTTGCCTGGGGGTCTGTGCCACCCTCCCCAGAGCCAGCTGTTGTGTATTTTGGGATAGACGTGCACCTCCGGTTCTCTCTCACAGCATCCTCACAGGGGACATCACTGTCTGTCCCCCTGTGAAGGCTCCTGGCAGCCCCCTCTCCCTCCTGGAGGCCTTTGCATGGACCTTTCATTCCAGCCCAGCAGAAGGGCCAGACCATAGCTCCCGAGGGGTCAAGTCCCTCAGGCCATCCAGCCATGAGCACAAGTGGGTATGACAGGTGAGGAAAGCTTGCCAAGGGCTGTCTGCTGAGACAGCTTCCCCCAGGCCTGCTCCAGGGCTCTGTCTTCAAGAGCAAAGCCACGCTCAGCAATGCTGAAGCTGTTGTTTATACCTGGTGGGGTTTCCCAGAGTTGAGACATGATTTGGAGCTGGACTTTCTGAAGGCAGGGACAGCATAACAGATGAGGTAACAGCCCCTGCTTGGGGAGACAGCAGGAAGTTTGCACCTCCTCTTTCCATTGTATCATCTCTCCCTCTTTCCTTTCCCCTGTTGACTTTGGTTACCTTTTCTGTCTTTTGGTGCAAAATATTTTCAGTAAGCTTTGTGTTTAGGCACAAAGGTCTCAAATCCAGGTGCTTTCAGTTTCAGTGCAAGAGGCAGGGATTTTCCACAGCTCAGCTCCTGGGTTTCAAGCCAGCACTAGGTCACCTGGTGGCAGAGCAGAAATTAGGAGAACATCTCATTTTGTCATCCACCCCTCCATTCAAGAACAGCAGCTATGTGGGGAGGGCATAGATGATGGAAATTGCAAAGAAAGCGAAAAACTGTACTGAGATTCCTGTCAATTTG